TTTGTAGCTGCCGGCCCTCCTTAACTTTGATTCAATATTGGGTGAATTTATGCAGCCTCTTTTCCGAATATCAATTAGTCGTGGGGTTAATTACCTTATCTTAATAACCTCGCAGACCACCCGAATGACGAAAACCACCCCCTCCTCCTGCACAAGCAGCTTCAAAGGTGGAGTCGAGAGAAACGACGAAGGGGGTTGCAAGGTGCGATGCGGTAGCATTCCTACGCGGCATCGCACAGTGGATCGAGTCAATTAGAGATAATGTGGGCCATGAAATTTTTGACTAAAACTGCAAATTTTAGTATATAATTCGTCGCATTTTAAGTTATAAGGGGTGTTTCCGGAAGAAAATTCCACGAGGAAACCAATGGAACCACTTTTAAAACCCCGAAATTTTGTATGAACGCAGTCAGGGTGTCTACAAGTCCCGCAATAGTACTGATTTCTTAAGGGCGGTCCGGAAATACTAAACAAGTGCGGAAATTGCGCCAGAAGGTCCGGAATTTTTTTCATTTTTTTGTCGTTTCCGTCGCAATTTGAGCGAGAAACTTAAATTTTTGAAATTTTTCGAATTTCGTCAATCGGAAGTACTGACAAAGTGCGGAAATTGCGTTAGAAGGTCCGGAATTTTTTTCATTTTCTTGTCGTTTCCGTCGCAATTTGAGCGAGAAACTGAAATTTTTGAAATTTTTCGAATTTCGTCAATTGGAGGTACTGGAAAAGTACTTAATTTTTCTGTTAAGGAGGTACTGAATTTCTTGGGATTGCACTAAAAAAAGTACTGATTTTTGGCTAACCTGTTTTAGTAGACACCCTACACTCAAAAAGAGGTACGACTCTGAGACCCATAAAAAATGGCTCGGAGATCCATAATTTCTAACCTAAGTGACTTACCGTCTACATTATGGCTTTCTGAGTCATACTTTATTGTTCGTGAACCTATAAGCATGGCTCCACGAACTATGCTGTATGGCTCCATGGTCCATAACTCGGCCGGTAAGTCACTCTTCCCGTACTTGTTTTTGAGTGTAGGAGTTACGAGCTTTTAAAGTTTCCAAATTTTGTCCGACCTCCCCCATCGACTCGCTCCACGTGCGTCGCGTCGGCCGTCCGCGCATTTTCCACCGGCGGTTTTTTTTAATTAATCAAGTTGAAAGGAAGTGTCATTACTCTCGAATCTAATTGTCAGGCGGTGGCGGAGCCGACGTCTCGATCCCGCAGCCCCCCGGGCGCGGGGGACGGCGCGGGGGCCGCGGAACCCCACAACTTTGAGTTGATCAATAACGCCGCAATCTAATTTCATAGTGCGATGGGCACAACCTGTTCCTCAATTTCAGGCTTCCAGTCGAACGACTCGACGCTCCGGATGAAACCAACCGCGCTTCGCCGCTCCCGCCGGAGGATTCCGCGGGTTTGGACCTTTATTCGGAGGCTGTGAACGTGGCGTTTGATGAAGACCCGCGGCCCGAAAGGATAGCCAACCCGCTCGAAGTTATTTGGGTCGTTTGTGACGGGGAGGAACCAAGTTTTTTGGGGGAAACTTGGTTTTTTTCAGGGTCACCGACGGTCTGGAAAACAGAGAAAATCAGGGAAAGTCGGGGAATTCGCGATGATCAGGAAAAAAGTCAAGGAATTTACGATGATCAGGAAAAAAGTCAGGGAATTTGCGATGATCCGGGAAAGTCAGGGATGTTGCGATGATCAGGGAAAGTCAGGGATGTTGCGATGATCAGGGAAAGTCAGGAATTTGCGATGATCATGGGATTCGCAATGATCAGGAAAAAAGTCAGGGAATTTGCGATGATCAGGAAAAAAGTCAGGGAATTTGCGATGATCAGGGAAAGTCAGGAATGTTGCGATGATCAGGGAAAGTCAGGAATTTGCGATAATCCGGAACAGTCAGGGAATTCGCAATGATCAGGAAGAAAGTCAGGGAATTTGCGATGATCAGGAAAAAAGTCAGGGAATTTGCGATGATCAGGGAAAGTCAGGAATGTTGCGATGATCAGGGAAAGTCAGGAATTTGCGATAATCAGGAACAGTCAGGGAATTAGCGATGATCAGGGGAAGTAAGAGAATTTGCGATGACCACAAAAAGTGAGGGAATTTGTGGGAAAGTTTTGGGAATTTCCAACACATTTACTATTTACTAAAAAATGTTCCTTATCTTTCAACTGTTCACCCATTCTGGTCATTTTTAAGGCTTGTCATGTGTTAATCAGCTACTGAATGCCTTTTTCCATAATTTGATCTCTACACGAGTAAATTTTGTGCATAGTTTAAAGGCGGAGACTTTGAAGATAAATGAAGTATGGCCACCCTGTTTTTCAGAAGTTCTTTAGCTGTTTTTCAAGCTTCCTCCGTTCTGAAGATGACAATGTTGGGCCAGTCCTATGTTATTCCAGATCCAGAGGGATGAGCGGTTTTTTTACGGGCGCCTCAGGGAAGATAAGGTCAAATAGGCGGCAAAACTGCCCTACTCGATACTTGGATGGGCACTAAGCTGCTTGAAAGAACTTGAGAAACAAATTTTTGCGTCAATTCGATCCGATCGTCTTAATACGATGAAATTGCTGATATAGGTGCCATCAGTGGAGTGACAGACCCATCCACCAATACAGACTAAGAGTTTCTTGTCAAATTCACCGAACCCCTGTTGAATTCCAACACAATTTCTCCATGAAAAACACGGAAAATGCCCCAACAAGCAGATCTCATATTTTCCAAAACACTCGGCACCTTATTTCTTTTAGAGTGATCCATTTAATGACAACTTACGGACTCGATGCTTTCAATGAATCCAAACCAGTGCTTTTAATCATTTTACCAGTTAATAAACGAATCTGGATTCTAATAGTAAAATGAGAGTAACTGGTAATAAAGGATAGGTCATGTATTGTGTAGGTCAGTTCATCACCTTCTTTAGGCCAAAGTATAATAAGCGCCATGCTACGTTTAAACATTTCCGCCGCCATTTTATTTTTTACAGAGAAATTGTTGGTTTAATCTGTTTGAAAATTTCACTGAATTTTATCGGCAGCACGAAGAAAATTCAGAGAAATTTCGGACTGCTTCGTCGAAGAACAAATTTTCTGTAAAAAAAATAAAATGGCGGCGGAAATTTATAAACGTCGCCCGGCGCTTGTGATACTTTGGCCGGATGGTGACGTGTTGTTTATCATTGAATTCCTCCATGAAACCATTCAGTTTCTACCTTTTTGTTCGAATTTCTTTATAGATTTCCTGTATCATGGAAATATCACTGAATTTTAAAGTGAGAAATCATCGAATTATCAGGTATTCTTTTCCTTGATAAGGCGTCGACACTTTCTTTCAAAAAAGTCCGACAATTTTTATACCTATTCGATCCTAGTCTGCATCCCGTTTATCTGTAAAGAAAATCAGTGGATTACATTCTGCAATCAGGAACCACTATCTCCAGCTCTTCCATAAAAGCACATATCTGTAGAGGGAAACAAATGGCATGGATGTTGTTTCTAAATTGGGCGAGAAGTAGTGGTTCCTTATTGCAAAATTTATTTCAAATGATGAGAGGAAATCAGGCAGCGGGAAGTGCAGTCAGGTTAATCCTCGTTAAACCCGCCCACTTCACCTCCGACACCGCAGTCTGCACCCCTGAATTTTTTACCTGACGTTACAGCTCGGGTTGGAGGTCGCGGCAAATGAATATTACAGCACGTTTCGGGAGGGAGCTGTGAAACAAACCGGTGGAGCTCACACGGAGTGTCAAGGTTGGAACCCGATCTTTCANGGGGGGGGGGGTGATCCCGGAACCAAGGGCTGCAACACAACGGCGCCCCTCAGCAATGCTGTTATTTTATTATATCAAAGATTCTGGGGTTCCCGGAATTAATTCCGATTCCTTATAGTTCTGAGAAGACCTGCGATTTTTTCAAAATCTCCGGGTAAAAATTCCGAAACACGCCCGGATTTAATTCCAGAGATCGTGAAATTGGATAAAAAAAATCGGCCAAACTGACGGAGAACCTCGAAATTCCGTGAAAATTCCGAAAAATTCTGAACTAGGAAATTCGAAGATTCTGGGAAAAAATTCCGAAATACTTCCGGATTTCATTCCGAAATACTTCCGGATTTAATTCCGAAGTTCGTCAAATTGGATGGAAAAAATCGGTCAAATTGACGGGAAACCTCAAAATTCCGAAAAATTCCGAACCAAGAATTTCGAAAATTCCGGAAAAAGTTCCGATTATCCGAAAACTTCCGAAATAAAGAATTAATTCCGAGAAACGGCAGCGGCACCCCTCAGGGTCCCCAGGACCAATCCCAACCGTGCGGACCGTGATCTCCGATCCGAGAACCAGAAAAGGGCGAAAGGGTGCCGGGGAAGACGGGACAGGGGAGGGGGGGCGGGCAACGGAACCGGTCATTAAAATCCGGATTTAATTCTGAAGATCGATAAAAAAAATCGGTGCAACAGGTATAAAACCCCGGAATTCCGTGAAAATTCCGAAAAATTCCAAACCAGGAATTTCGAATTAAGATTCCGGGAAAAGTTCCGATTATTCGAAAAGTTCCAAAACTTGGAATTAATTCCAGGAAATGGCAGCGGCGCCCCTCAGGGTCCCCAGGACCAATCCCAACCGCGCGGACGGTGCGCCCCGATCCGAGAACCAGAAAAGGGCGAAAGGGCGCCGGAGAAGACGTGACAGGGGGGGGGGGGGGGGCGAACGGAACCGGTCATTAAAATCCGGATTAACTCGTAACGTATTGATTCGGTCCGTCGGTGAAAATGTAAAATTTATCGGATTTCCCGCGGCCCCGGAGCGCATGAGCTGTAAATATTGGCGAATGCACTTGGCCGGGTCCGGGGAGGGGCGCGCGCCGAGGGAGGGGCGGGGCCGGGAGGGCGATACGATGACGCATTATGACGTCAGACGCCCCCCACCACGCGGCATCCCTGACTCCGATTCCGAGCGCCCCCCGCCCCTCCGCGAGCGCGCCTCTAGCGCAAGCTTTATTTTCAATGCAGAGTTGAACTTTGGACGGTTCGTGTCGCTCGCATCGGCTCCGCTGTCTCGAATACCCCCCGGTTCGGCTCTCAAACAAAAAACACCAATTTCGTTCCCCCCCCGGTCGTTCCGCCACCCCCCGCTCCCTCCCGATCTCCGGAATCCGGACCAGTGTTCGTGGTGAGTGCCCCCTTCGAGTTCGCGTTTTCGAGGTGCGATCCAAAATCCCGATTTCTTTCCACTCTTGTCTTGTGTCTTTTCGATAACGCCTCAGCCCGAATTGGTTATCTGTGCCGTCGAGTGTTTTTTGGATTAAAGTGTCCTCGAGAGATTTCCGGCCCCGCACGGGTCGGCTATAAATAAAAATTGAAAAATTAATCTTGGAGATGGAAGAGCTCGGCTCTGCAGCAGCGATGATGAGTGGTTTGAATCGCCTCCGCCTCGGGAAAATCGTTTCCGATGCGACGTCTAACAGATCCTCTAACAGACGCAGGAAAATCACTAAGTTCATGAGTCGAACACTCGGAAATGTTTTCGATATTTCCCCAAGTTTCGATGATTTCCCGTGATTTGGCGAGCCATAACCTCGCAGCCCCCTCTAGGGCCCTAGCGACCGGAAAAACACCTAGAATTTGATGCGATAGGGAAAATTTACAATACGCACAGAAAATTCAGAAACAACCCCGGAAAACATAGATAATTTAGGCTTTTTCCAATAATGACGGTCGAAGTATTATGTTTTGACCTTTTACTGCATAATTTTGTCTTGGCGAACCAGCACAAGGACAGCATCGAGAACTTTGAAAATATTCTGAACTTTGCCCTTTTACCATTTCCTATTTCAAATCGGGAGTTTCAATTTTCAATTACCATCACAAGTGTTTACTCATTTGTACCAAAGTTCGTGCCAAAAGCTTCTTACCTAGTTTACCCGGAATGAAGTAAAGTTGTGGGGGTTCATACAGAACATATAGTTTTTCGATCCAAGTAACAAAAGTTTTTCAGTCATGGAAGCAAAGTTTCGGTTTGTAACTAGGATTGAGTAAGATTTGTATTCTTTACCAACGGCTTCGGTTATCCGAACCGAAGTTTGATCTCTATGACAGACAATTTCGGTGTCCCTTGTAAACAGAAGCTTGGTCCGTGAAAACTAAGTCCCCGCGCGGTAGTTCCAATTTTCCATAATTTATTGGGCGTCTAATGGACCCTGTAGACTTAGATCCGTGAAAAAAGCTTCTAACCTAAGTTTTCTCGAAGTGGAAGTATGGTTGTGCCTAGAGACAGTTTATTTCAGAGACCCTACACCAACAATCCAAGTAATATAATCGGGCGAGACAAAAGCTAAACTCGGAGATCAATGTTATGTTTTGCCTAATGATAATGGATAGGCAACATTTAAAGAAAAACATAAAATAAAATTCGCCCAATGATGACTGATGAATGTCGGGGCGAGCACTTTGCAAACGAGTTTTTGCAAAGTAGGTTAGGATTGTAATACCATTCGCTTAACTTTTGGGCCATGCGTCATCATTTGGCGAATCTTGAGAGTTGATTCCCCTAGGTAACTATCACAGCACAGGGAAGATAGCAATGCGGGGTCGCAAATTGGATTACACTAGAAAAAAAAAGTGGCTTGAATTTAGAGTCCAGACACTTAGTAAACAACAAACTTTTCTTGTCAACAACACTTAGTTGACAAGAAAAAATACTCTTGATTCAATCCGATGTTTCCTTGAATCGAAGAGCGGAGCCTCTTGATTTAGGCGGATTTCCTTTTGATTCAAGCACAAATTCCGATTGAATCAAGAGTATTTTTTCTTGTCAATGTTTTCAGGAGTCAGGACTGTAGATCCAAGCCGCTTTTTTTCCAGTGTACATTTTGCAATGAGGAACCACCATTTCTGGCTAATTTTAGAAACAACATTCATGCCATTGGTTTCTCTATGCAGATACGTGCTTTTACGGGAGAGCCTTTGATAGTGGGTCCGTATTGCAAAATGTAATCCAAATATACCTTGTCTCTGGTGCATCTGGCGCATCCACGCTAAGCAAAAAGCTCCTAAGTGTGTGGGTGTAGACACGTAAATACATGCGTGAATACGTGCGACCATCCTTTGCATTCAAATACGTAGGGTTTCCGTTCGATTTACGCGCTTTTTGCAGGACGGCATGCTCTGATTTGATTAGGTGAGGGGCTTCCCGCACCGCTGTGCAAGAACCACGTATCTGCGATGGAATCCCTATCTAGATACCCGACCGACCGCCGCTCGACAGCGTAACCTCGAGCATTCGATGTTCTAAACTTGATACGTTTTATTCGATGGAGGTGCACCCTGACACTTGCATCCAAGTCCCTCCTGGTTCTGACTCGTTTTGAAACTTGGAGGCTATCGATTTTAGCCTCGGATTGAGTTACAGTCTTTTTTACCACGTATCCTTATTGTATTCAGAATAAATATCTAAAATATTGGGAAGAGTAAAAAGAGATTTTAAAAGAGTAAGCTCCTTATCGGCAAGTTTCACATTGTAGCCTTGTCTCATTCAATCGACCCGGCATAGTTTTGCAACATCAATCCCTTGATTTATTGAAGAGAAAGACTATCCGAGATTATTCATTTTTAGTCAAGTGCGATGTCCAAAACGAACTGCACTCTAGTACCCTTTAAAATGTCCAACCAGAGAACATTTACATTTTTTTTCTTTTTTTGACGCATCAAAGGTAAAATTATAAAACCCAGTGTCTCTGATTTCTGTACCTTTGATTTCCCTTTTTTATTTCATTTTAGCGGGAAAACCTAACTTTTTTCCGGCACGTGTAATTTCGAATGATTTTCATTTGAACATCACGAAATACATTTCCCAAAAGTTTCATGCCAAAACGCCTGGTTAAAGAGCTAAAAAAAAGAAAGAACTATAGAACGGAGTCGAAGCGCATTGTTCTGCGTTCTCTATAATTTACAGAGATATATGAGCAGACTTCTCAATAGAGGTTTTTCTTTTCAATCGGATGTAGAAAAGCCCTGTTCGAGATGTCGAAAATTTGTGCTTTGGCGTCCTTTTTCATCCCCTCAGACGTCGCTGAGAAGATGGAGTTTCGAACAGCTGACGGTCGGGGTTGGGCAGCCATGTTTGGGTTTGACCTAGTTTCTCAAAATGCAGGAAGGCTGCACTCGATCGGTGCATCGCGGCCGGGTCTCCTCCCCCGCGGTGAAGATCCAATGCAAGTTGGCAAAACTGGATTTCTTCCATTTAAATGTATGTTAAACTATCGATATTTATCGGCTCAGCCTTCTTACCCAGAATCGATTATTTTTCATAGATTTAAGTTGGAGAAAATCTGTAATGCCAACCTGTGAGATCGAAGTTCTCTGGTTGTGGTCTTCCAAGCCCCCGAAAATCTCTAGTCCGATAGACTCATGACACCCACCGGAAAACACGTGATTTCGAGTTTGAAACTTGTATCACATCCGGTATGAAAATCGCGGTTTAGAGCCTTAAACCCGCAGTACACCTGCAGAGAGCCCAAAAAACGAACACATTTTTTAATCGCCTGCTAAAAAAAGACCCTGCTTAGGGCAATCATTTTCTAAAATCTCTGATTTTGAGTTTTTTTCGATTGTTTTTAGTGCGTTTCCTCACCAATTACACGGTGACAATGATTGTGAGGCCCTTTAACCTTTAGACCGCGCGAGACCGATGCTAAGGTGAAAGGTCGTTACAAACCTATTAGAATCCTTTATGACTCAAGGTGTAAAAAATCAAAAAGAATGTAATGCATTCGGTGTAAAGTGAGTTTTCAATGCGCATTTTTTCTTATGCTGCAATAAAGCTGTACACACAGGAGTTGTATTTTTTAACCGTAATATTTCATTTAAGGTTGCACATTATACACTCAGGATTATATTCGAAATGAATGGATTGAATTTTTAACACTTAGACCCCATGACAAGAATGCCAAGGTGAAAGGTCGATATGAGCTTATCAGGATCCTGAATACTCAAGGTGTATAAATAATCCAAATATGTGCAACTCTTTCCTTAAAAGTGTCTCACAATTATAGGTCGTGCAGGAGAAGACCCTTCAACCTTTATATCAATAAAATTAGAGAATATATAGGGCTCCGCCAGGACCGTGGTATAAAACCCCTAAAGAACTCTACCATGGAATAATAAATCAATATTTTGCTCTCATTTTTTCCTTTTTTGTTGCGTGTAACAACTTAAGTCCCTGTAATTTTTCCAAATCTCTTCGTCCATTATCCATGCGCAGTAGTAGAGACCCTTTAACCTATATCGCGCGGTATTCGCTAGATGATAGACGTTTAATTATTACCGGCTTATCGGGGTTTTTGCAGTCAATCCGTAGAAACGTTTAGCGAAAACGCAGGGATTTTCTTTGTGAACAGTATTTAATATCGTCGATTTTTACATGATAAACGGCAACTTAGACGGAGGTAATTCCAAATCAACATCAGAGCTGATCCATCTTCGGCAATTTGCCGACGTTTCGACTTTGCAGTTAAGTAATCCTAGAAAACACTCGGAGCCGGTTGAGCTAATCGATGGCGAAAGTTGTAAAACACTCATCTCCATCACGACGTTTCAAAATCTCTGTTTTTCATATATTTTTTTTTTTTTTCAAAGAAAAATCAAATTAATGCAGTCGATAGACCTTTTCTTGAAATATTCCGCATAGAATGAATAAAAATCGACAAGAATTCTCGGCAAATTATATTTACCATTTTATATCTTCCTGAAAAAAAAAAAAAAATAAAATGCCACAAGAAATGAATCGCATCTAGCAGAAGGGAACCATTGCAATTGCAGTGTTGAAAAATTGTGCATTTTCATCCTCATGCAAAGATACCTATTTTAGGAATTTTTTAATGCAGAGAAAGAGTTGTATGCTTGTGAAAACACAGCAATCGCGTTGGTGCTCTTTTGATAAATGCGATGCAAATATGCAACTTTGCAAATCGAGATACCTGGATTTCGAAGCACGTCATCTTGATGTAATTGAGAAAAGTGCATACTCTTGCACTCACTCCGGGTGTTTACTACCCAATTACCTCGTTATCTTTGTAAGGCAGTAATGTTACTCTTCGATAAGAGCAGTCGAATTTTTTTTCCACATAAATCGATCACTTGTTAAACCGAGGTCGAATCATATCTCTCACCCTATAACGAGTCAATGAATAACGCATCAATTGTTACGGTTAAACTTCCGTTTTCAATTATCGTCTCTTTAAAGATGCCGCTGAGTTGGAGTTATCCATAGGCTCGCTATTTTCATTGTAATTCAGTTTTGATAACCGAATTTTTTCTATAATGCGTGACGTAATTCACGTAATTCTGGTATTTTATCGCAGAGTTATGGAGTAATTTTAGCTTCGTTTAGTGTTCATCATTCTCCGTACGGAGTGATTTCGTGACGCATCCTTAAGAGTGGAAAGAAATTCAAACCGTCTAGTTTACAATTCGCGCCAGCAGTGGCAATTTTTATAAATTGGCAACGTTGTATTTCTCCCATTTAAATGCATGTATAAAAATCGATTTAAAGTGACTTGCTTCACCTGCAATCGATTTTTTACAATGGATTTAAAATTGGGAAAAACAGTGATGCCGATCTCCGAAAATTGTCACTGAGCTAGAGCACCTAAAACTTGTGCAAAACGAATACCTCTGGGACGATGAAAAAGCACCCATCTCAAGAAGATTTCAGTTGAAGTTGAGAGGTTTTGGTGTACAAGTTTTTGGTTCTTACGCGAATTGGAAACTAGGCGGTTCAACCGAAACTCGGTCGCGTTCCCTGTGTTTCGTTGGTTGATATCGACGCGTTAGTTTTTTTTTACAGTGTTCGTCGCCATGATACCGTGTACTAGTGCATAACAAACTTTCTCGCTGTGTACGGGCTTGCTCATCATTCGTTGGAGTGATATATAAAAGCCGCCAACATGCCGGAGAAGGTACCAGATTTTTTGGTTTTTTCAACGTTCTTTCTATTTTTGCTCAATATTGTTGCATTTAAGATTGTTGTTATATTCTTTTCACATTGAATTTAGGAGTGACAAGGGGTCCATCCCTATCCCTTGAAGAAACTTTTAGACTGCGCTTTTTGTACTACACCGTTAGAAGTCTCGGATGAAATCCAGAGTGTATTTCATACCGGCGCCTGTTTTCCCCCTATAAAACTTGATTGATTTGAATGAGGAGTGAAACACGCTCCGTAAAAGTTAACTTCGGAGGAAGAGTTTATTTCGCTCTCACTCCTTTAAGGGTAGATTTTACCCCGCATTTATATAACTCGATTATCTGGGAGCTTTCAGAGTAAGATTCTCTTCGTGTTTCACTGGGATGCCTCTAACAGTGTAGCTTGTTATGTGAAGAAATGAAACGTCAAAACTAAACTTATTTAAGACTAGTTTATAACTTAGTCCTACCAATATCGTAGTAAGAAGATTATTTTCTTAATAAAATGGAATTTTAATGTCGATTGATTAAAATTCTCCTTTAATTACTTAAATGGGGCTCCCATCTTCACAGTGTAACCATCGATATTTTAATGGCTTGGTTTCAAAATCGCGTTTTATGAAATGCAATTAGTCTGAAGTTAGTCGTTCAAGTTATTAAATAGCTCGTTCGGTCCCGAGAATATAGAATCACCCTATTTTTGCCCCGGGGTTGTTAAACGGTGATCATGTTCCGCCGAGTGTCACAGCTCGGACAAAAATAGAACCCCTGCCTTTTCACAATTCCACCCTTAACCCCACTCAACCCCGCTTATAAAGACTAAACTGGGGGCGCGGGGAAGTTGGGGATATCGGGGATGACTTTTGACCTTTAAAGCTCGGGAAATAATAACCGGAACAGCCGCGCCAGGCCGATGCTCGTGGGTGTTATTTTCTCAGAAAAAATACACTCGATGCCCCTCTGCGGGCTGATTATTGAAATTGATAGACAAAGCAATAGACAAAGAAGACAAAAAGGATTTGGAGGGATCCTATTGGTAGAAGCGGGTGGTTGCAATGGACAAAGGAGGTAGGTAATACACTAACGAACGGCAACCACGAGAGACCCGACAGTTAGTCTATCGTTTTCCCTCTTAGTCTATGAGAACCACCCATTGCAACCAATAGGATTGCTTTATACCCCCTATGTCTTCTTTGTCTATAGCTTTGTCTATAAATTTCAATAATCGGCCCGCAGGTGAGTGCAGTGTACACATTTCCCGAGGCGTTACCTTAAGTTGTATTGTCCCTTGCCATACTGCCGTTAAAATTCGTATTATTTTATTTGAAAGTTACTTAACTTTGTACCTCGTGGAAATATTTCGTGTCCGTCAGACGCGATTCGCGATCTTTGGCGTGGCATGTTCTGCCGTATTAAGGAAAAACGCCGTATGAACCTTCAGGCGTTGCCAAATTTCCTTAGATAAAACACGAATTTCCTGGTAAACTTGTGAACGTTTCCCCCCGAAATTTTCAGACAATTTTGTACGCAATTTAATCTAAAATTTCTGAAAATTTCAAAGAAAAATGTGCATGAATGTCGTCAAAAATGCATGTTTTATCTAGAAAAATTTGGCAACTCTCGAATGTTCATACGGCGTTCTTCCTTAGCACGGCAGTGTTTATCGATGTATCGATTGATCTGCCTTTTAAACCTACGAAAAAAGATCGGTAAACAGGAAGATCGCAACGAACACCTTAATAATCGATTCTTTACCATAGCTTCAAATGGGGAAATATTGATACTCGATCATTCAAGCCTCGCCACTGTTGGCGACCCCTAATTAATTAGAGCTAATTGACTTTTAAATTTTATGCTTATGTATTGGAACCCTTGAAGTTTATAAGTCTGTCTTTTTACAAACCCCATTATTTTGATTATTAAGAGAATTTCTGGAGCTCTGCCAAATTTCATCGATTCGCCCTCCTGATATGTTTTTTTTTTTTTTTCATCCAATAATGAAAGAACTGAACATTCTGCAACTTTCTGTGAATTTCCTGAAATCTAAAGAACATACCCACGAAATTTCAAATTAGAATGTCGCTTAGTTTTCTGCTCACAAACTGAGAAGAAATTCATCTTTTTTTGATGAGGCTCGGTGAATTCTGTCGATCGCCATTCATTTCGTCGTTTTCTAGGTGGTTACAAAATCGACTCAGTTTTTATTTTCTTTACCTAAAACTGACCCCTTAATTTATGTTCAAAATTTTTCTGGTTTTGCAAGTAATCCAAATGAAAATCCGAGCAATTTTCAGTTGAAAATCTGCGATCTTGTTTCGAGTTTAAAACAAGAATTATAAGGGGCAGTTTCGTAGCGCTCAAATGGAACCCCACATTTTCTTCCGGGGAACTGCCTGTAAAATGAGAAGTGGGTTTGAAACACCCATTTTCAAACTAATTTGCTCTAAATTCTTCAGTTTTTTGACCGACCAATTTGGCAACCGCCACCATCTCTGGATCGGAAAGTTTGCTCTTGCTCTCCCAAAAATATATACCGTCCGCCACGGGTTCATCCTATCACCCGGTGTATAACAGCTTGGCCATTTTCGGCGTTGCCGGCTGTGAAAGAAATACAAATTTGCAGAAATTTCCAGTCAACCCATAACATTCGGCGAATTCACGAAAGATTCGACAACATTGCCGCCTTGCGTCTCAAATTCTTGTATAATTCATGAGTTTTGAGCACATACATATTGTTGGGGAGGATCGGAACAGAACCCGCGGAAAATCTTCATCCCTCCACCTCCTCCCCCGTTCGCATCTTCGCTTGATCCTTATTTTCGGTAGATTTTTTCTCTCCTTTGCGCATCTGCCGAGTTGTCTTTCGCGAAAATGTATACGTTTCGATCAGAGTCAAAGAGCCGAATCTGCCGAATCGCACATGTTTAAAAACAAAATATATCTAAAATCACACCACTATTTAATGTCTCATTTGGCAGCATATTTTCTCGTAGTTAAAATTATTTCTCTCCAGAGTCTCTTATCAGAAGGGGGAAAAATTCATATTGTTAACTTTCCTCATTTAGTCCTCCAAAAAAAAAAAAGAAGAAGAAGAAGAAGAAGAAGAAGAAGAAAAAACTTTTTCAAGTATAAATTTCTTGTTATTATGCTTAGAAGAATCCTTTTGAACATCTTCAAGCAATTAGGTACCATTGGTCTCGAATTGCTAAATACCAGTGGCGTGGCGTGGTTTGCGATATATCGATTGATCTACCATTTAAACTTATGTAAAAGGATCGATTATTAGGGTGTTCGAAGCGATAATCGATAATCGATTCTTATCACAGCTCAAAAGGGGAAATATCGATAATCGATCATTCACGCCACGCGACTGCTGAATACCAGTCTTCATCTCTGGGGGAAACGTATCAAGGATTCTTATTGCATGTTTCTTCCTGAAAAAAGCGATTGTGTAAAAGAAATTTTTAAAAAAGCAATGACTTACAAACTTAAAGAAGTTTGCAGTGTGATGACATCCAATCACATGAACGTTAACTCAGCAGTATATATCTCCTGTAAGATAAATCATGAACTTTTTTCACTGTGTTTTTTTTCTCTTTTAAGTACGTGAAAATTTTTACACAGATGCATCCATCAGAGAAGAGCAAACTCTTAAACACCATAACACAATCAAATAACGATTAATTTGGAAATAATTTTGAACCTAATTCAAAGTTGAATTTTATTAGTAGTAAAAGAGGCTTTCTTCGAACATTCAGCAGTGAAATTTCAGTCGGAAGCGTTCCCCTGTCTAAAAGCTCCACGTGGTTCCAGACCTGAAAACCTCATTTCCAGGAAGTAATTTAATCTGGGGAGATTCCTCTCTGATAGAATCGATCCGATTCCGATCAAGTGAACAGTCGAATGAAAAGAACAAAAGAAAGCTCACCCGAGGAAATCGTTTTAATCAACAACGAATTTCCACGAAAAGCTCGCTTTTACCTCGAAAAATACTTTCTGGGCTGCTCGACTTGAGTTTGATTGAAAGTTAGGATTTGTATTTTTTCCAAAAGTAATTTAAAATTGATTACTTTCCCTCTCTTTTTTTTCGAAGATGTAAAGATTTTCTCCTCCGCGGGAAAGCAGAGAAGTTTCTCTCCTAAATTTTTGCTGGATTATGAAGTGAAATTCCCAATTTGGACGGGTTGTGCGAAAAAGGGAGTTGCTTAACCGCCGAATTTTCAGAAATTGAGTTTTCGACGGAAAACTATTCTTCGAGGCTGGACGCATTTAACAACCGAGAAATTTTCCCCAAAATCATTATTCCAACATTTTTTTAAAAATTTGAATATCTGCCTCAGTAGAAAAAGGGCTTTAATCCCGAACCACCTCTCTCAACGTAGGTTGCTTCCTATTGGTGGAAACCGAAGTCGAGAGTTAATCAAATTATTACGAAAAACTTTCAAACTGCACTGCCGTGATACCGAAGAGAGCAATAAGTGCATGCCGGGATGAACCTCGAGACACATGAAGGCATGTGTTCAGTGGTGTGGCGTGAATGATCGAATATCGATATCTCGCCATTTGAGGCTATGGTAAAGAATCAATTACTAAGGTGTTCGCTGCGAACACCCTGATAATCGATCTTTTTTCATAGGTTCAAATGGTAGATCAATCGATATATCGCAAAGCACGCCACGCCACTGCATGTGCTAACCATGGCTCATACAGAAATGCACTTACTGCTGTCTTCGCTATTACGGCAGTGCGCTGAAAAAAAAAACTCCGGCCATGGGAGCTGTACTTACGGACTATTTAGACATACCGTCCGCGTTCCGGGTTCAGAGACCGAAAGTTCCGGGCGTAGCAGCCGGAGCAGTCAAAGCCACGGCTCCAGCACCCGGAACTTTCGGCCTCCGAGCCCGGAACGGACTGTATGGCTATATAGCCTGGAACGGACGGTATGATAATATAGCCCGGAACGGACGGTATGTTTATACAGCCCGGAACGGACGGT